AGAATGCACAGCTCCCGTCGGGAGCTCCCTTCCAGTTGTTGGTCTCTCCATCACCTACCTTTAGCATCTGGAAGCTTATCAAGCGTGGTCTCACGAGCACGAGCACAACTCGTTCTTGTTCATCGCCTCTGATAGGTAAACGCTCCGACGCGGACCTAGCGAGCTCATGTGATTGCTCGCTTATTCCGACAAAGGGTCAAGTATGTATATTAATTGATCGGCTGAATGTCCGCAAATACTCGGAAGGACTCAATAGCGGAGAACGGGGTTCGTCTCCTTTTCCGGACGCTTGCTTATCTTTTATTTATGAGCGGGGAGCTAACAAAAAGTTCGAGCGGAGCGGAGGCGGTCTTCTCAACTCTTCTTCTCTACAGATTTGAAAGCCCGAGAAACGTGATCTGAGCTGCTGAGCTCCTGGCCAGCGCCACCAACACCTTCTCGGTCGACATCCCCCCGAACGCGGTGGCCAGTTTCACTGACCGCTTGGGACGATGGACGGACGGAGATCTGGGTCAGTCTGTTTCGTCAATCGGTCGGAGGACGGTCGCTGAGGAGACGGGCATCTCGATGAATTCGCTTTCCATTCGCTCGGTGACACTGGCGTAGGCTTGCGGTCGGCTCGACGTTTTTCAGGTGATTCGATGTCTCCGGGGAGCAGTGGCGACTCGCAATACTGCGAGTCGACGTGCGGTGAGCGGGTCCGAATACGTGGTTGTTGCACCGGTGATCGGCCCGGGCACGCTAATATCGCGGATAGGTAAGCAGCATCGAGCGCCGGAATTCGGTGCGAACTTGCTGATCGGGACGAGCAGTCACAGTGGGAGCGACCACTGCCGTTCGACCATTTTACGACTGGCAAAGTGTTTCAGCAAACGTGATGTCACGGGGGCATACTCAACGACGGACAAGGGGATCATGGCACGCTTCTGGCGTGAGGAAAGAGCAGTCTGCCGTCCGAGCTCGGGCCGGCACGCTCTACTTAGTCTATTTAGTCGTTGGCGTGCCCACGCATCCGCGAGCGCCGGACTTATTTTCGTCTTCGAGGGCCGTGCATGGGGCTACTCACCCCCCTCCCTTCTCCCTGCGACTTACCGATTCGAAATTCAGAAAATCCCATCTGAACGACGTAAACGAGGATACGTTGAGAATCATTTAATCGAAGCCATGCCGCGGCGGCAGCGACCAATTAAGCTGAGCTTGGCGGTCGCGTACTGAAATATTGAAACACATGTTGCCGCTCGCAGGGTAGTGAGCCCCCGGCGAGCTGCCCCGCCCCAGTAGCCTCTCTGATTCAACAAAGCCCTCCGAGACGAGATTTATGAAGGTGTATCCGCCGTGTCTCTGTTCGTGCGAACACGATTTCGGACACGGATTCACGGCCCGTAACAGCCACGGTGGTGAACGCTGGCGCGTTCGCCACTACTCGTGAGTTGTCGCTCGCGAATAACGCTGACAAATCAGGGAGCTGTAATCTTGTTCGGACAGTGAGCTGTACACGGTGATAAATCTCGTAGGTAAATGAAAGATTCATTCGCATTCCGCATTCGCCAGGGTCGATCCTCGGGAACCAGCACGAGTCATCGAGATCGTGACTTCAGACCGCACCTAGGGAAATCGCGATCTGCGACGGGGCGGAAGTCGCCCACGACGTCTGTTCCATTGACGATTCGCCTTCAGAGAACCACTTGCCAGCATAGGATGAGGGTTAACATCGGGAGCGACTTTCCGCGCGAGCCATGGTAGTGATAGCCAGCCAGGCACACCAAACTTCCACCGTATTTGACATGACTCCCGGATTTCGGTTTCGGGAGCCTCGAGTGATTTATCCCGGAGGGTTGAGAAGGCTGATGATTTAGGTAATTTGCGCATGGCTGCCAGAGTCTTCCGAATGCGTGAAATGTTCGCGGCCGGCGTCAGCGAGTATTGATGGTGGAGACGAGAATCGGGCGAGGCCTCCGCGACTAATGTGGCAAGGACCCTCATTTCGGAAACTGGGCGGAAATCGGCGTCTCATTATTCTTTGACGAAATATGGAGTCTTGTTATAATCGTGATCCATATCGGGGACTACCAGCCATGCGACACGGACCTTCCCGACGTATCGTCTGCCGAAATGCCTGAGTTTTGACCAGACGAGAATGGAACTCTTCGGAGGTGGAATGATGATAACTCATGAATTGCTAAGAAAATAAGAAGTCAATAATTTATTTCTGTGGTTGTTGTTTTCGTCACTTTTAAGTACGGTATTGTCGTCAGTAATCGTCGGTGACAATATATGGTTCTGGATGATTTACACTTTACAGCAGAAACATACAACGAGGTTCGGACTCAAACGCTCAGTTCGCGGCGGAAATTCATGTATTGATTTTCCTGAGTCAATCGCTCTCATTTCGACGTGTCCCTCTCATTCAGAAAGCAACGAACGAGGTCAATGAACGACGCGCCGCGACCCGATTCCCGTGGGAAGGAGAGACCTTGTGATCGCAGAAGGGAGATGCTAGCAGCATCGATCGCCATCGATGGTTCTTGCTCCTCGGAGGAAGTCAAAGTTTCCGAAGGAAGTCTAGCTCGGGAGTCGGGCCAACAAGCGGTGGAGCGAACGACAAGCGCGCAAATAATCCTCAACCTCTTCTTCCAACGCTCCTCCTCTTGCTCTGGTGAGTCTCCTCGAAAAAGTTACCTATTCCGTTGAGGGCTGCATTTCGCTGCATCGTCAGACACACAAGCCTGGCCCATCACCGGGGCTACGGGAGTTCGTTTGTTACAAATTGAGCATATACAGGTATATATATTTATAGCGTCTACGTATGAACAACCTACAGCCTGGTCTGATACTTCCCTTCGCGTATCCTCGTGATCCCCCAACGTACATACATATTTCTCCGAGAGAGGTATGTGGTTCGTATAATATTCAGGCGCGCTCTTCATTACAGGGAAAAAGTAGGCGCCGCTAGTTCCGGAGAGGAATTCTCCTCCCAAGGGGGTCATGGATACAAGGAGTCTCATTCGGAGATTCGCTGATTTTTCCCGTCATTTCCGTTTTCCCCCAGTCGTATCTTACACCCATGAATACGGATCATCCCGAGTCGCTGTTCATTTTTCTGACGCTACAGAGAAGATGGGACTAGATACCGCCGGGAGAGTCCGACTATGTCGTTGTTGCGAGTCATCCTTGAAGTTTTCACGAGTACATACAAAAATTTGTTTGTCTCCGGCGCTTTCCTAGCAGCCCACTCTATTGACTTCACCGCTGGCGTCAGAGAAGACTCCCAGTAGACCAGGCTGAATTGATTCCCTAACACGAAAACAGTCGGGATGTTTCGACGGTTGCTAAACTCTCATAGGAAAACTAGACGGCCAGACCGTCCGACCGATCAGCTCAGGTCTTCGGGCTTTTTTCTCTCTGCGGATCTCTTGTGTTCTCCGTAGCCGCTTTGTCCGCCCGTCCCAACGGTATCGGAGTCTCTCGTCCTCTTCTTATTTCTCAAGTAAACAGATCACAATACTCTTTTATTCTCTCTTCCGTTCTCTTTCACTCAGCTCATCCGTAGCTCTCCTGTTGACTCCTTCCGTCCTCCTTATTTTATCCTGCGTCGGGAGCATTCTCTCCTCGTTTCCTAATAATGGTAGTTTATTCTGGAATGGAAAAGAGAATATATTCACCCGACGATCCCATTGTGCGTCTATCGGTCTCCTTAACTTCTAACGACGATCAACACTCACACACAGACTTCATTGGAGTTCGGTTGCTGAACGTGTGTGGGAAGCACACGAGAAGCATGGTCTGAGGCCACGGACTGCTGAATAATGGCTGCCAACGAAGAACTAGGATCTGTCGCCGAACTCTGCAAGTTGGAAAAGAGTCCTCTTCGGTTATCGTCATTATTACAACTCATCATGAGGCTGTTCCTTCCACGTTCGGTAATTGATGGCCACGCTCCGAAACAATTATTACTATTCCTTTGCTCTAGATTCTCGCTCCTTCGATTGAGATTCGTCGCATGAACGTCCGGCTGGGAAGCGGAGGATAAAACAGAAAGGGGTAACGGTTTCGAAATGTGCGTGACACAGCGCTGTCTCGTCTCCATCGACCGTTCGGCGACACTACGGCGCCGTATGTTTCGCGAGCGACGTCGGCCGCTCCAGAGATAGAACGAGGAACTTTGAACGTCTGACCGAGGTTAAAGAAAGAGTGACACACACACACACACAGCCAGGAGACGGAGCCTCAGTCCGCTCACCGACGACGACAAGCGTAGCCGGAGAGCTGGGGAGTTTGCCCTCCCTGGGACTCGAACCAGAACAAGAAGCCAAACGGGAAACTCCGAGGAGCGGCAGAGATAGTTGTTTTGAAACACAAAGAAAATGCGAATTACGGTGGTTTCTGTCGAGTCGTTCATGCGCGCAGTGCCGCCGCGAGACGACCAAGCAGGCAGCGTTGAGACTGGCTGGTCGTTGGAGCCGCCGCATAGTGAGAGCGCGCGACCGAGTCGCAAACCAGCTCTGGTAGCGGGGACTGCGAGGACAAATGGAGCTTTCGAGTGCCGTCTGCCTTGCAGGAGGAGCCGTTAAATGGCTGTCGGTGATACAACTCGCTTCCACAATATAATGCCCGTTGTCACCGTCCCTGCCTCCACCGTCTCCACCATCCTTGTCGTCGTCTCCGTCGCGTCGCCGTCGTCATCTGCGGTCGCTACCGGAGACAGCAGCTCCAAACGACAAGACAATGAAAACGAACCCCCTCTGAATGCGATGCTTATTCGACGACGTCAGGGGCATGCTCAGGATAAACAGGGTGACCCACGAGGATGCCCACGAGAGTCCCAATGATCGATGGCTTGTCTACGAACGATCGGACCAGCCAGCCGCCGTGTCGGGAGACCGAAGAGCGTAGCACGCGGAGCGTGACTCCAGACATCGGCCCAACTTTTCCCGCCGCCGCCGCCTGATGACTGTCAAGCGTACTAGCTACTATGTTGGCACCGTGTACACGGTACCCACCTTAAGTTGCTGCGGAGCCGTGTGGCCAGCCGCTGCCGCCAACAAAGAGCGTGGAGGATGTGGTAGAGTTTGAAACTCGCTGTAGCTCAAGCAGATCTGGTTGCAGCACTCCGATGCCGACGCCGCTTGTTGTTGTTGTCGCTGCTGCTGCTGCAGATGATGGCTGTGATGTGTTCTGGAGATGGTGTTGGAGTTGATGGTGGTGGCTGAGTTGTTGGTGGTGGTGGTGATGATGTCGTTGGAGTTGCAGTTGACGCTGGAGGGTGCCGCCTGCGAGGACGAGACCGAGCCCTGGCTCGCCATCGACGCCCCCGCTCGTTGAAGTGTAATCGCTTGGTATTGCTGCGCAGATGCTGTCGTCGTACAGTTGCGCTGCTCGACGGAAATAAACGAGGCTCAGCCAGCTTGCAAGGCAGCCAGCCAACTACTAGGTGATCACATTCGGGAGTTTCTTTCTTATCGAGACAATCGAACTCACTTGTTGGTGTCTCGGTAAAGTGGACACTTTTCTGAGAGGAAGGGTTCTTTGCAGTGGGAGCTGGGCTGGCGTTGAGGCTTCTCTGCTGCTGGCTTTGCGTGAGGGCCTTGTGCTGTTTGGAACTGTCGTGTCTCTGATTGAATTCGAGTTGGCGGGCTGCAATGTAGCGCACTTTGTTCAAACAAGAAAAAACAACTTCCCCGGCCAGCCAGGGACCTCTCAGCGCATCGGACTCAAAGTCTCCACTCGTACCTGTACTTTGTGGCTCTCCTTGCCCTTGCCGCTGCTACCTCGGCCTTTGTCTCTCTGGTAGTACACCCCAGCGAATATAAGGATGTTCAGGATGAGAAGCGAGCAGCCTACCGCTATCGTCACCCCCAGGGCAGTCGAATAAGTGCCCTGGGGGAATCCAGCTAAACCAGACATGAACTGGGACTCGCTTCGATTCTGTAGTTCTCCCCCTCCGCCATCGAGATGGTTCGGGAGGAGAGGACGTCCTTCTGGAATAAGAAACGACAATTTCTCAAGCAAGAGCAGAGAATACGCTCGTCGAAGTCGTCGGCTTTCCGTGACAAAAAGAAGAACATTATCGAGCGGCTCCCGACTGGAGCTCGACTTCTGTCCGTTATCTTCTGTTCCTCTCTTCCTCTGCCTCTCGCTTGGACAATAGATGCCTTTCTGGATTTTCCCTCTTGCTCCCATTGGACAGCTCTCTCCGAGGTCGCTTCAGTCACTTCGTGGAGCTGTGAACTGAGGCAACGCCAGTGTCGAGCCTTCCCGCAATACAGGGTGGTGACGTTCTTATGCTCCTGATGATGCTCTATGCCAGCAGCGGGGGCCAACGAGCGCGGCATACACGGATGCGATGCTCTTCCACACAGTGGAGTCACCCTAAGTGGGTGCGAAGCTGTGTTTCAGCTCCCGGACGTAAGACTTCTTTCTCTTTCCTCTCCTCTGTGGATCTATTTGTCCGCTTTTGCGCTTTTCTTTCCTGGCTCACGCTCCGGCTCGCTTGCCGGCGGCCAGGCGGGCAGGCCGGCCGGCGACCGGTCTGGCCGCGCCTGGTTGCCGTCAGTGCGACGGAGGGTCTGCCAGTCGGTTCGGCGGGTTGCGGTATTGATGAGCTGTATCAGACATCGAGCCAACCGATGGGAAGCAACGAAGCGATTCAGCCGCTCACCACCGAGCGTAGCAATGGTCCTTAGACGGCTGCCAAAACGTACCGATATCGGGCTGCTGCGCTTGCACATGCGAGGGATTGCCGCCTGGCGGACTCAGCGACACCGGTGAAGACGTCGAAGTAGTCGTCAATGTGATGTTGCGGACCACGCCCGCGTACGAGGCCTGCAATACAAGGGAACGAGCTATGAATGGGAGATTCCTCATTCTTCTGAAGAAAAACAAACCTAGGAGTCTCTTGAATAGATACGCTTCCTAATTCGATATTGTCGGAGTTGTTCAGCCCGAGCCACCTCAACGCAATAAGCGGGATGGCCGGCGACCGATTCCGCGGACAGGATCAAAGAGAGGGGATCAAGTGGGAGTGGGCGACAAACATACGACGTCTGTCGTTTTCGCTCAAATCACAGCCCTGCAGTGTCCGCTCCCATAGCTCTGAGAGTCTCGTAGCGCATAGGGGCCTCTTACAAAGAATGATATCCAGCCCGGGCAATTATTATACGTGACCATGCGGGTGTTTTGATCCTTCAAAGACTTGGAGCCCCCGATTTTCTTCGTCGATTGGAAGAGGGCCGAGGGGTGTGTGAATCTGCATCCCCATCGTCCCGTTCTCGACCGCCGTCTCTGCTCTTCTCCCTGTTCTCTGCCCTGACTCACCTGGTTGTCGAAGTCCTCGAGGAGATGATGGTCTCTAGAAAGTGCGGCACCACCGGCACGGTGCAATTTCGGTATGAGCCGGTTCCAGATGGAGAGACGATGTGCGTGATAGTGATCGCGAATTTTAGGTTTGAGCCCTGGAGAACAAACGGAAATTCTAATTAGAGGTGAGTGTCTCCCGGACTGCCGGGAATATTCTCAGGTCCCAACTTCGGAATCGTGGTCAAACGAGAGAAACCGCGGGCACTGGAGCTGTGCGTTTCTCAGAAGCACACAAAGCAGCCCAGTTCCACCCGGAGAGTTTCTCATCGGGAGCAGCCCTCGCGACAGATGGAAACAGAAACGAACAGAAGCCGTCTTCGAAGAGAGTGAAAGCAGAAAAGGAAACGATAGATAAACGTCGCTTCCCAAGTATAAAATATTGTCGCTCCGCCCTTCCGGTGTTTTGAAACCGAGTGTCTACGTTTTACCGAGCTCGCCGCTCTATCTCTATCGCCGCGTTGGTTCCGGCGGCGACGCTACTCTTCCCCGTTGCGACTCCAACGCTCCTATGCGCATCTGTTCCCAACCATTTGTTCCGCTTCTCTTTCTGCAGTTTTCCTCGTCGTCGTTTCGTGGTTCAAATATGGGATACGAGGCGCACAACTCGTTCCAACGGCCACCACTCCAACACGGCCGCACGTCCATAAACAAGCGGATCGCACGTCCACTGACTGAGTTGGGAGGGAATGACAACATTTGTTCCGCTCTTTTTGTCCCCGCTTCCGTTCGGACGCGAGCGTGGGCGCGATGTCGCAACTCATGACTACGAACTCACCGATAGTGAAGAACTTCTGGTGCAAGGGCTCATAGTCAGGCCAGCCGGGCCGTTCGGAGCGAAGTTTGTTCTTAGATTCCATGTCTGCGTCTGAGACATTCGGTGATCTGGAAACGGAGGAATTTCGTAATCCATCGATAGGAAGAGAAGCTCTGTTCACAGACGGCGGCCCGGTCGAAAGGAACATGCAAACCGCAGCCGGATGGGAAGACGGTCCGAACACAAAAGCTCTCGGAAAAAAATCCTGTTTGCTCAGCATGAAAACTCTACAACAATGGCGGCCTCTCGCTTATCCACCTCATGCAGCTATTATTGCATTAGCTAGAGAGCAAGGAACAGACACGAAAAAATGTTCGAGTGAGCCTAATGATCGGATGGTTCGCTGTGCTCCACAGTTTCTTTTCGAAACGGAGTGACCAGACACTCTGAATTGGAGTCTCCGTTTCATTCACGAAGCCGAGTGAATGGACGGAGCTTCTGGCCGCTGTCCAAGTTCTCATTGGACGAGACTCGTAACAACGACGTCCCGTGACCGTCGTCCCCACGAGCCGAAAGGGAGTTTCTTATGTTCTTGCGGCTCATATCCAGGTTCTCTCATCATCTGACACGATGACGTTCGACCCTGGAGCGGACGAACCCGTTCCGGGACAAGCGACCGTCCGAGGCAGGCGAAACGAGGCAAGACGAGCGGCAAGGCCAGACGAGGTACGCCGGGCCGCACAGGCACCTACCCTGAACGGAAGAAGTTGGCCCAGTAATTGATAACCATCTCGGACAGCTGTGCCTCTTGTCTCGAGTAGTTGCCGAAAAGGGCGTTCGGAGTGCCTAACAGAGGAGCCCCCAACACGTATGAAAGATCCTCGCCGTTAACGCAGCCCGTTCTCTGAGCGTACAAACTGTCTTCGGAGTGGTAGCCGAATACGTAGAAATTTGTTGTGGAATGAGTCCGCCTGGAAGAACGGGAAAAGGAGGAATGTCAGCTGTTCGTCGTTCCGTCCGTACGCTTCTATTCCATGACACTTAGTTAGTTAGTCGCTGAATCGGAAGTGTCCGTCGTCGTGCCGAGCGGTCTCCGAAAATTTATGTAAATGAGCGCCCCACTCGGATTTTCATGTCGTGGGGAGAATCGTATTCCGGGGAACCCATCTTCGGCACGTCGCTTCGTTTCAGTTCCCTCTTCGAGCGATCCGAGCTCGAATTGGGCTCCGCGTCGAACAAATCAAGAACGGAGTGGAACGATAGTCCCCGGATGGGACCACGGATTTCTCGATCCCAGAACCCTCCGGAACTGATTTGGCTCTCACCGATAAGCGACGGCCTGCGCATGTAATGATCCTGTCTCAACAATTGGTCCAACCACAAGAGCATCGCTCAGAGCTTCTGCGGTCTCTTCCAGAACACTAATCGGATGCTGCATGGATCGAGTCCAATCTGTGTACTCGTTAATGATGGTGAGGAAGATCTCCTGCTGATGGAACGAGTAGAGATTGCGCACTAGGGTCCGGATAATCCGATCACGTCGCTCGGCCTGGAACAGACAAACGAAAGCACCGATAAGATAATATGGCCACTGACCGATCGTTCGCCTCCGTCCACCGCTGCAAACAGTGAAAACTCCGATGGCCGTCGGCGTCTGTCCGGTCGGTCGACCGCTCGTGTGTCCCTCGGGGAACTTTCGTCGAGGGGACAGGAATCGAAAACGTTGGCCTCGATACACGGACGGACGGGCGGACGGGCGGGCGGACGGACGGACGGACGGACGGACGGACGGACGGACAGGGAGTGCGGCAGAATTCTCGTGGAAGCTGCTCGGTGCAAGGCCCATGCCGGGGAGTCCTTGAAATTTTCCTTGAGGGATTTTTTCTGCGGCGGAAGGCCCGAAGAGACTCACCTCGAAGCCGTGCTTCTCCTCATGACTCGAAAATCCGAAGTAGCTTTCAAACTTCACCACTCCGAATAGAAGGTCGTGCTGTGCGAACGGGGACGTGAGAGAAGCCATCTCCTGACGGGGCTCGCCAGCAACGACACTGCCATCAATAGTTGGCCCGAACGCCGTTAGGTAGTCGGGCACGTCCAACGGAATCCCTATGAGATCCTGTACTGGCCGATGCCGAAGACATTCTACGAACGCGGCGGCTTCGCTGACGGGACAGCCGAGATGTCGGCCAACTTGCTTGGCGTACAATGCCGCGTCACGGGCAACCGCCCAAGGGCTCAAGGCCGATCCCGACATCATGACGCCTCGCTTGAACAGATCTGCAATGGAGATTAATGATCAACTTAATGGCTGGTCGTCGTATACGATGTTAGCTTTTCCTGCCCGCACCGCACTCTGAGATGACCAGCGGCAGTCTGAACTCGGCACCTGCTGCACGTAGGCGTCCCGATTCCTCCCTCGACCTCTTATTCCTCTCTCGCTACCTGCCTCAGCAGTGTCGCTACGATGCCCGCCTACTGCATGTGCTCGCTCATCCCTTCCCTCCAGCTCATACTTTTAGCTTCGCAAGGAGCCGGAAAATGCATTTCTCTCCTGGCAGAAACTCTATGAACGCACGCGAACAGTCTAGAGGAGATCGCTATTCGCTGATCGTCGCAGTTCCGCCATCGGGCACCCGAGCCGAGCACAGCGAGACCCCTATAGACAATCGCCGGCAGACAAACGATCGATAACAAGTTACTGCGCCGATGGTCTCTTCCAGAAGGCATCGAATGATCGAATAAAAAGCAATCGTGACCTGGAAGGAGGGTCCTGTCGTCTATTCTCCGCTCGTTGCCTGCCACGGACCGAGTCTAGTAGCCTCCGTCGGTTTTTTCCCCATCGTAGTCACCATCGATGTCCTTTTCGCTACAGCAGCGAACATCGACTGAGAGCCGCACACATTAATATTGCTTACAGCGTTCGATAGCTGAACGGACGGAACGAGTAAAACAAAAGTATATAAGCTGCTGCTCGTCGACCGGCAACCTACAACAAGCAGTCGAACGGCGGGGAGGGAGGGAAAGGATAAGGGTGGCGACCTAACGAAGGTTGAGAAAACGGGCTTTCAAGAGGAGGTTGAACGAAACAGCGTGAGATTGAAAAAAAAAAGAGATTCCCCAGCTCTCTGCACATGGACGGGGCTAGACAGGGGAGCTCGAGAGATAAACGTTCCTCCCTCCATTGAGATCGATAGTCAAAGATTTCGCCCCATAAATCTTGATGAGCATTCGTGCAGCTACAGCTCGCCACCGAGACAACGACTGGCTACTGTGATTACGCAGCGGAGGGAAATCGTCGAAAGATCGTGATCGAATGCGGACGATCGGGGCCGGCTCCCCTGCCCGGGTTCGTCGAGGATCCGTTCGAGAAACTCATGACCTCTCGCTGCTGCTCGGACGTTCTCGACCGCAGTGAAGTTCTAACCAGCAGAGCGGCGTGTGTTCGCGAATACCTCTCGTTATGCGACGAATACTATCGACGGGGAAAGCAAAAGCCGTGCCGCATGCCCCCGTTTCGCGGCATCTCCGAGCTCCGGTTCCGGGGATTTGCGCAAGGTCGAGGAAATCGTCAAGTCATGGGTTTCTTCATTCGACGCGACGCTGATATGGGGGAACCTCCATCTAAAAGAACTAGGTACTCGTATCTTCAGGTCGTGTATTCGAAGCGGAGAAAACGCCTGTAGTCTGCTGACTGTGCGAGAGGAATAAGTGCGCGACTATATTGTTATCTGAAGACAGCGAGGTCTACGGACGGACGGCCAGACCGAGAAGACCATCCAGTGAGTAGAATGCTTGCTATCCGGTCTTCCCTTGACGTGACACGTCGACATCTCGTAGCGAATATTGTTCTCTTAGTTCCCATCCGCCCTTCTCCTCCTTCTCCTCGTCTTCCCCAGACCGCCTCCGAGCCCACACTCTTCTTCGTCTTATCCTTATTAAACTCATCAATTGTCTCGGCTCATTGAATCTCAGCTATGCAATGAAACGGAGCAGCCAGCCGACCGAATGAAATGCCCCGCCCGACCAATCGCTCTGCAAGAACATGAATTCGAAAACAAGGCCAGACAATCTGCTCCCCGAATCGAGACGACGCAACGCCCTAATTGGTAAGCTTGAGCGCGGGAAAGCAGCGAGGACTGACGCTGCGAGAGGAAACTCATGACGTAGAAAAAGGAGAACAGTCGAGCCCGCTTCGAGAGGGAAACGGAAGTGAGCGATACCTCACAAGAGCCGTGAGGCGCCAGGAACAGAATGAAGGCACCAGGCGACATCTTCGTTCGTTCGTTCGTTCGAGTATAACGCGCTTGTGACCCCGAACGGAGGCAGCATGACGTCAGCATTCGCAACAGAATTAAAGCAGCGAGACAGCTGTTTCGGGCCCTCTGTCTCCCGCTGGGCTTATAGAAATAATGGGACTGACGGGGTCGGATAACCTTAGCAAGCATCGAGGGTATTCGGATAGCGCTAGGAAAGAGAGGGGGAGAAAAAAAAGAGAAATCCAAGAAAAGATCCAGAGCACTCTAGCCAGCCCAAGTGCTCCGATCGATCGATAAGACATGGACACATCAGTGAAAAAAGGTTTGTTCCGTTATCTCGTTCCCCTGGCTCGAGCGGGGCAGCTCTATTGAATTTGCGAAGCCACTGTGACAGCAACGACGGCGGCTCGTCTCGACGCTCGGCAGTTATCTTGATTCTCTTCCCGGGAAGGGACAAAAAAAAGAAGTCTTGAATATTTAGATTACTCTGCTCTTGCTGCTGATCAATAGCCGGCTCGAGTAGGGTGCATAGCGAACGAGAGCCCGGGCTCAAAACTTGTCACCCTCTCGGTCAGCGATCTCGAATCAGAGGGAGACCGTAGGCGCTCACCAGTCTCCGGTCAAAGTCGACGAATTAAATCTTCAGCTTTCCTCTCGTCGAGGATCGGAAAGCTTTCCGAGCAGACGCACTACCCCTCGAATTCTCATCAATAACAAATCAACGTCAGCCTCTCTGACGAGCCCTGAAACTTCTACAGAGTCGCTCTTTGTATCAACTACTGCGAGTGGCCGCCCTCGCCAAATGATACTAACCTTTCGCCATCGGGTACATCATGAGGAAGTTTACGCAAGCGGCTCCGGTTCCGTGACCGAAAATTGTGACGTCGTCCGGATCGCCTCCAAAGGCTTCGATGTTCCTGTGAATCCAGTGAAGTGCTGCCACTTGATCGAGGAGTCCGTTATTCGCTCTCGACGCATGCTCCATGGCAGGGAAAAACCCTGTAACGAAAGAGAAAAAATTCGTGTTCTTTTGGAGTGTTTGTGTATCCGAGCACCATCATTTCGCCCGGAGTGTTTGTCCTGTGTCGAAAAGTTTGGAGCCGGCTTCGACTTTGTGAATTTCGAAGCGTACATCGCCGAGCGACCACTCACCCAAAATGCCGAGGCGGAAATTGATTGTGACAAAGACGACGTTCGCGTACGAAGATATGAGAGTTCCATCGTAGGCGTTCCCGCTGCCCCAGTCGTATCCTCCTCCGTGGATGAACATCACCACAGGAAGTTTCTGATTGGTGCGGGCTACTGTAAAGAAGAGCAGAACTTGCCGTTAGATTCTTCCCGTTGACTCTTCGAATGAATTCCTCGCAGTCGACGCCGGCTTGTACCCCGAATCGGTCGGAATAGACCACTGAACATGGAATTCCTGACGTGTCAAGGAGCGAGTTTGAAACGGAACCCGACGAAAGATCTCTCTGAAAGGAGCGTGGGCGATACTCCAAATTCAAGCCGAATTCGCTGTCTGCGAGGCCCTCCTCGGAAGCACGCTGTGTCCCGCAGCAGCTGTTCCTTCTCTCATTGAAGACCCGTCTTCCACTTTTTCCGATGAGACACAAACAGCAGAATCGGGTGCAAACGTCTATTGGAAACAGAAATGTGCCGGAAGCTTCGTTCCAGACTCCTGGGCCTCGATCTGAAGTGGGAGTTGCTGGAAGCAATGAAAAGAGAAGCTCCCCGTCCAGCGGCACGACCAGTTCCGATCGCGATGAAGAAAATTCGGCGATATAATGGAGCTCCAAGATCTCGTACGAGGAAGCAATGAGCCATTTTGTCGAATGGGATCTCAAGAGCGGCACCTGACCGATCATTCGAGAGATCCCCGAGCCCGAAATAAATGCAGAGCCAGGAAGCAGCGAGTTCACTCAAACAACATTATTCGGCCAAAGCCATACCTCACCGGATGCAACGAAGAGGGGCTGCCTAGAAATAATCGTACGGATATAGTTGTCCGATGCTAAAATTGTGGAGCCGATCTAATATGAAATCGAATGACGAACTAGGTGTCATCGTTCTCTATTATGGTCTCCAATGCATCGATGAGCTGACGAGTCTGTGGGAGACCGAGTAACGCTGCCATGAGTAGTGGTAGTGCTCGCTCACGCTGCAGCGGCCGGTGGAACCCACTCAATTATACCGGGAGCGTATCGTGTTATTAATTCAACGTTCGAGCCCCTTGTCCGTGTCGCACAAGTATTGGCCGTGGATGCCGAGCTCTTCACGATAATGTAGTCTTTGTGATCTACTGCTGGCTTCCATAGTGTTGGTTTTGTTCGCGTATTCGCTTCCATCCGCGGAAGAACAGCGGATCGTGTGGCCCGATCGGAGGACCGACCGAAGGAGATCAGGAGAGAACTTGAGCAAACTCGGCGGCGCTGTCGCAGCGGTTTCCTTCATTGTTGTCTTCGCGGGACCTCCCACTCTCGTGAAGCTTCAGGGCGAGTTCGCGTTGTCTGTTCGACGGGGATCCACCTCATCGTTCTCGGCGCCGAGCATGTAATAGTCGAGAGCTCCTCGGTCTTCAAGACCAGTTGAGTAGGTCACCCGCTCTGGTGCCGCTGTCACTAGGCGTACAAGCGAGCAGGCGGTTGGCAAGTCAGCCAGCCAGCCAGTTGTCCAGCCAGTCGGCCAGCCAGGGAACATACATATATCACTGGCGAGCCTATATAACGACCCGGCCTGCAGACCCTATAGTCAAGAGTATTAGTTCTTCGGCTCGGCTGCCGCTGTTGCAGCTCATGTACAAAGCCAGGTGGGTCTTGCTGGACCAGGTCCTGGGAGTAGCAGTAGCTAATGCCTGCGATGACGCTGTAATATACGAAACGGCGGAAGGGGTTCGCTTCGTTCGAGCCCCGAGTACGAACAACTGTTCCTTCTGTCACTTCTTTGGGCTGCTTCTCAGCATCGGCTGGATGAAAGCGAGTTGTTCCGGAATGACTCAAAGGGAATGATTGATAATACTTGATCTACTCCTCAGTCAGTCAGACAGATAGTCGGCTGGTCGGTAGGTCGGTCGGTCACTTCGAGGTAGGGACTTTATTCATTCGCACATTCATCAGAGACACCCCGTCGCCTTGGAGGAGGTGACACAAGCTACGCTCGCCTTAATTAATCTCTCACGAACATGGAATGCTCTGGGACAATTCTGACGGAAATGAACCTGCTCCTAAGCGATGGGATGTTCTGGCTGCTTCCCCGAGGCAGCATCTTCCAAGAGGGCGCGGCTCTCCGATCGATAAAAACGTGATCGGTCTATCGCGCTAATTCGTATTTTCCCAATTTCCCTAATCACACGATTGTCTCGATGCAACAAAGGGAATTCGCTCCGGAGAACCGATGGAGGGAAAGCGTCAAGTTCAGCTAGGCATCGAAGTCGACGGCTGCAGCGCTCGGGGAGCTCCAGCGCGACCGCGCTCGTAGAGCTCCTTCCATCGGAGACTCGGTCGCTTCAGCGTGACTCTACGAAGGATCTCACCGACAATGAGTGGGATACAGCAGAGGGTAGCACATTGTCGCGATATTTCCGTAATGCCATCGGCGATGCCCGCATCTCTGCCCTGCGCCCCGTTCGTCGCAAAGCCATCGGGAAGCTCGAGCAACACGAGGCGTTGCGTCTATCCTCGGAGGGGTTTTTGGGACGCGCTCTTATTTTTGTTGTTCGGACAAACGTTTCGAGCGCCAGAGCACGAGTCTGGCGTAGCTGCGACCGAAGTAAACGACCGAAGGCGGTGCGTACCGACTCGACCTAATTATTCTCAGCCGTTCTCGACGTGAGCCTCACGCGGCCGCGCCGCTACAAACGAGATAACGGCACACTCCGTCTGTGAGCTACACAGCGTTGTTGTTTTCTCGCACACCGTTCTCCGTCGAATCTCGAGAACGGTGTCCATCAGACACGATGGCGGCGGCGGCAGCTGAGCAGCTGCTGCTGAGAGTCATTCATCATAATTACAGTCGAAGGAGTGCCGAACCGCGAACATGGATCTTTTACGCTGCGAACCCTGATCGGCCAGCCAGCCTTCCAAACGTGGTTCTCGGCGGGCTGATGTTCGGGGAAACGCTTCCGCAGATGACGTATCCAATCTTTCGAACTCATCATCATTTGTCTCTCTCGCTCACTTCACCTCACCTAATACATCTTTCTCCGCAGCGATGTTGCCGATTCGGTGGCACTAGTTCCCGCGCTCCGTGAAACTCTTTTTCCGCGGAGTGAGTCTTCTCCCCTGTCATGAGCAGAAAGGTCCGACATTCTCGTCGTTCCCTCAGAAGTATCTGTCCTTGGAATTATCTCGAGTGAATAATATGCAGAACATGAAGCGGAGTGATGACCTCCAGGCGGAATCGACCCGTGTGGAGTCGTCCGAGTTCGAAACTCACATCGGCGTTCGCTCTGCGTCGCATGGTCATTCAATTCATCCGGAAGCTGAACTATTTCTGCGCGTCTTTGTTCATCCATGAATCTCTGGGTCCCGGGAGGAGCGGCGGCATGGCCCCGAGTCGCTTCGGAATGGAACTTTCTCGCTCCGGAGAACGGACTGACGGCGGCGCCGCTCCTGAATTCGGCCCCAACAATACAATAGAGAAAATTAATGAACTCCGATCCTGAGCCGGAGAGAGCTCGAGCCCAAGCAGAAGATAAGCGCGAGCCTGAGAGCTACCCTTGCGAGCTCCGGATATGTGAGTTGCTCGAACGTATGGATAGGCAGATGGTGGTAAGTTACCCGTCATCACACACAATTCTAATGATTCATTCCGACCGGGATGTCGAAGAAAGAAGTTTTCTTGCTCAGTGGACCTTTCGGCTCATCGCATCTCAGTAGGTTTCCCGACGTATGTTTTTCTCGTCCGTCGGAGAGCTTGTTACTCTCTCCTGAGACGACCGGGCTCCGACCGTCGGCGCGGTCCACCACCGAGCTCCAGGAACTTGTGGCTTTCCGGGCTCGAGGAGTTCAATAGAACGGGGCCAATTGCCACGGGCTAGTGTTGGGCCTAGAGAACAACAGCAAAGACAGCGGTCGCCTTCGACCGCAGCATCACAGGCAACGTGGTCGACCATCGACGCCTGGAGATAATGCGCTCCGGGGAACAGAAGTCCACGACGGGAAGGCGCCACCGGGATCGAGAGCGACCCATGCAGCTATCGAGAGGACCAACAAACCGGTCGCAACGCCGCCGCCGCCGTCGAAAGAAGTCGGGCAGTGTCGATGGAGGAGTCCACAAGCGAACGGGGAAGTGATGAGGGACGGGGGGCTGGTAGAGGACGAGCCGACGGGCGACCGTCAAAGCGTGGGATTGAGCCAAGTCGAGCTTTCATGTGATGTAAATGAAGCTCGCTAATTAGAACTGCTTCTCACTGTGTTCCTAGGAAGGGAGTGGGCGCGCGTTTGCTCGCTGTCCAACCCTCCCGGTTGAGTGAGGCTGCGGGAGGCGAAAAGGGACTCAGCGAGCGAGCGAGCGAGACTTTGTAGAAAGACCTCGGCTGTTGAAACCGTCTATCCGAGCGGAGCGCCGACCGAATGACAGAGAGCATTGTGCGCTTGTCAGTGGCCGACTCTCTGACAAGTGACCGACGTCCATCTGACAGAAACAATCCGAAGGTCTTCACTTGATTTATTTCCGACTCATTCTTTCACTGAGTCGTCCAATCCGTCAGTCAGTCAGTCAGTTCATCAACAGATTATGCAATCAATCAATCAATCAATGATTCGGGTCGCCGGACGTACATGGGGCGTACGCACATCTCCGTACGGAATTGTCGTTCAGGAAACGCGTTCATCCGGACTCGCAGCTGATACAGGCGTCTCCGACGGAGCTTTTCTCAGAGGACGACGCTCCTTGACACGGCACGAGGAGGCCGTCTGGAATTCCGAGTGCGAACGGCTTTCGCTCGGAAAAGACGCGGCAAACGACAGTCGGACCGGTTCTCAAACCTCTGGATACGCCGACCGGCTGATCGAAGGGGTGTCGACTCGATACAGTGTTTGTCAGTTGGGCCGCCGACTCCGGCTTGCGATGAAGTATTGTTGGGCGAAGAGAAGCCTCATCGCCGTCACTTCTCAACCGCTGAGCGCAGACAGCCAGACCGCTCGGTGGTCTGTTCGACTCGCTGTCTGGCTTGTGCTCCGTTGACCTAACGCTCGCTCGGCCCCCGCCCGCCCGCCGGCTCGTGCCGTCGTGTCTGTTCCCTTCCGCCTCGGACGAGAGCCTCGCCAGTGGTGTTGCCTTCGGGTGTCTCCGCGTTCGGACTC